GTTTAAAGATTGCATTAGAAAATTGAGTCTATTAAAAAATATTATATGATTTTTTTATATGTTTATATTTTTATATTATTTACTAAATTTTTTTTAAAAAATAAGATCAATATTTTATTTTCAAAAAAACCTTACATATGTTATATATCTGTAGTATTTAAACATATATATTTTATACTTAATATCTAACAATTTAATGAGAAAGGCTTCATTCTTATCTCTAAATATTATCTAACCATAAAGCTATGTAACAATCTTTCATAGTTCATCTAATATGTATCCAACTTGCAAGGTATATATCTAACTTGCAAAAGCAATTTCCAACATGTGCACCACGTATCTAACTTATTCATCAAGTTTTTAACTTATTAATTACCTACAAAGTCTTGTAAAGTCAAATCTATATCTATAAATCTTCTAAAAAGCTTCTCCACAAGATATTATGAATTTTATTTATTTCTATTTGCTTAAATCTAACTACTTTTATCTTGATAATTACTAATGATGGTATATTTGTGATAATTTTTTTTTATAGAATCTAAAAATTGTACCACCATTGATTCTACTAAAGTACTCACTTATATAAAATTTAAAGACTTATTAAATAGATTTTCTAATTTTTTTTTGAAAGAAGCAACCAATTATAATAAATTTTAGGATATAAATAAGATAATAAATAAAATAAAATTTTAAAATGATCCATCCATTCACTAATCAATCTACCATATTATTACAATCATTAGAAAAATAAGTCATCTCAAAAAAACCATCATTATAATTATTGCCCTTATTGCCACCTTCCTTATTTTCAATTTCCACTTCCTTCATTTTCAATCTTCTTCATCCCAATACATAGATCCCTTCCTCTCTTCCTGCCCTTCCTTATTTTCCTTTCTCCTTTCTCAACTCTCATTCCAACCCCCTTTATTTCCTCTTATTTTTAATAATAGGATGGATTGATTTAGTAAATAGGTGGGTCATTTTAATATTTTCCTAAATAAAAAACAATAGTTAATGTTATGTATAATATTTTGTTTAGGTAAAGGATTGGAGTTGGAAGTGCAAGTTATAAGTTTGATAATTAATAAGAAAAAATTTATTTACATTGATTACTGTAATATAGCTATTAGATGTTGTTTTTAACTTTAAAAAAATTATAAGATTAAAGATTGAGATCTTGTTGCAAAAAACCAAAAATATATCTAATATAATAAATAAGAAATTCATAAAATATTTTCAAAATATAGTCATTAATCAAAATGAATAAAAAAAATTAACAAAACAAAAAATAATAGATAAAATATTAATAATTGTTTTAAAATTTATTTACAATCAAACATCTTCTAAGTTTTAATGGATATAAGAAAGAATTAATAAGACTAATTTTGAGAATTTTTTATATTTTGATATATATATATATATATATATAAAATATTAGATTAATTTAAATAAATTATTCTTCTATAAAGAAAAAGGTTTGAAAATAAACAATATACACTCTATTAATGAAACCTAAGTAATTATATACCAATTCGAAACAATTTAAGTAATTTGTAAAAATTAGTTGTCTATAAAAAAAATACAATACTATCTAAATAAAATTAGATATTCCTTTTCTATCAATTTGTTTTTTAAGAAATAGCTTTAAAGAACTTAATAAACTTATAGCCAAATCTAACATTTATTTCTATCAAATAAAAAAAATCATTATCTTTCCAAAAAATTCAATAATAATACATTTTTAAATATAAGATCACATCCCACATCAAAAATAGAATCACCTTCTTATACAATCTACCATCTCTCTTCATAGGCAATACCATAGTTAAACAATTAGGTAATTAATCATAACAAAATAAGATTAGAAATCTAAAAAACAACATGGAAAATTTAATATTTTTCACTTTTAAGATCTTTTATCTTTTTTAATAATTATTCTTGGTTTTGATAATATCAAAATCAAATAACTTAAAATAAAAAAGATCAAAATATAATTCAAGAAGTCTTCAAATTGCTAATTTAAACTTAGAAGTAACTACAATAGAAATGTAAAATTTCCAAGTTATTAAAAATAATATATGTGAAAAAAGTAATAAATATATTATAGTTTTTGAACATTATATCAAAAATTAAAATTATTTTTTTATATTTATAAAACATAGAATTATTTTAAAAAAATAATAAATAATAACAAAATATTTTATTTTAAATTTATAAAATATAATATTTTAGATATTTTTTATATAAAATAAAATGGTTTTGATTGCTAAATATAATTGTGTATAAAAGTTTCATTTTAACATCTATAAAACCATGATATTAAGTTTGGTATTGAATTTTTTGTATTGTTGGTACTAATCTATGAATGAATGTATATATATATATATATATATATATATATATATTTGTAAAAAAGAGAATTTTAAAATAAAAAAGTGATGATAATAATCAATATCATCAAAAATAAAAATAAAAGTTATGAAATAATCATTAAAAGATGGCCAAGGCCTTAATCAATTGGTCAAACTACCCAAAAATCAACACAGAGCAATTTTGCAAAACAAGTATCCAACTTGCACACTAACCTTTTTACTTCATCCATCCATCATCCAAATGTGTCTATAACCATAGATATTGGATAACTACGTTAGATTTTGTAAAAAATTTACTAACAAGCAACCAATTGTTAGGAGTTCCTAAACTGTTGGTAAAAACCATACAAAATTTAGAAAATTATATTTTAGGTAATAAGCACAAAATTATTTATGGAAATTTAGACAGAATTTTTAAAAATAAAATTTATTAAAATGTTTTGGTGGAAGGAGCTATTTAGATTTTCCGTTCATCCATTACCATGTATCAGCTGGGTAACTATTCCGCTAAAGGCCTACAAAGCCAGAGAAAAATTGGCAGGTACATTCATCCAAATGTTCAATGGCATTTCGTTAACACTTCATTCGTGCAAAAGCAACCCGATTCAAGCTTTTACGTTTTCCCGGCGCCGCCGATGCGTCGATGCAAGACGATCCGGGTCGGCGAGACGGGAATCGCGCCTCCGCTGCATCGGATGGCCAACGGGAACGCCTCAACACTCACAATCGCGCTTCTCGCATGCTGATCGGCAATCGATCACTAGCAGCTCGGATCGCATCTCGGCGAAGTTCGCTGATCTATTTCAGGGTGGTGGGTACAATCGAGACTGGCATCCGTCTCAACCACGCAACGCCGAGTCGCGCGAGGGTCAATCTAGACGCAGGGAATTCGCAGAGAAATAGAGTAGCACCCTCGATGACATGCTCATGATCGTCGGGAAGTGTAGAATCAATATCCCTGCGCTAAATTTGCCTGTAACCGATTTAAGGAAGCGTCCAGATTAAGAAGAGCGGGCCTTTGTGTGTGTGTTTTGAAGTCCGAGCTGCCCTGGTGGTATCATCAGGAATGACATGGGGCTTTGTGTGCACGTGGAGATGGTGCAGACGTGTCCACCAGGGGGTCGTGTCTCGGAGCTTGACACGGATGCGTGTCTCATGCCCAACTTCGTGATCTGTTTTTGTGAAACTCTGCGTTGGGTCTGATCACTTGAGCTACTGAGACTATCATTTTAGCAGTTTGACGAGGGGAAGTCAGGTGGGGGGACGCAAGGATTTTAGGGTGTGCAACGTTATTATTGCTCTGCTGGAATAAGAGAATCTGCTGTGCAATCGTGTCGTCATATGGTAAGCAACGCAAAGAAATGAGAAACCTGTCGCTATAACTTTGTGATGGTTGCTAAGACAGTGAGTTGGTCATCAATGCTCGATGCTGAAGTTACGAAGGAGGCCCTTCACAACATCCCAAACCAGCATCATTTGTCTTAGCTAATTCGAAATCGTGCTCGTTTGTAAGCCCTACAATTGTGCAATACATCTTCTGTACTTCTCGAAAGTTCATGAGGTTTCTGAGGATTGAAGCGCCGAAGGTAAGTTTAATAGGTTGTAGGAGCGTTTGGTTGCTGTATAGAAATCCACATGATCTTTCGTATGTCTCTGGTGTGAGAGCACTGCACCGTGAGTCAGTGATGATCGAGACCTACGAATAGCATGTTCACTTGGGAAATAAGTGCGAGATATAATTAATATTGTCGTCACTCTTTGAGCAGAAGCAGCATCTGATGTGCATCTTGCAAGCACGGTAGCAGCGATGTACGTTACCGAGGATCCCAGCACCAAAAAGCGATCGTAATTAGATGAGTCGTGATGGTTGGATATAATGAGCAGGTACAAAGCGGCAAGACTCCATCAGAATCAGAGGGGTTGTGATTTCTGAAATACTAAGTGTAAAACCTGCGACATAACAATTATAACATCTATACTCTTCGTAATTTTCTGGTTAAAATGCTCGTTTTGTCAAGGTTCGTTTGCTACGGAGTAAGCACTATGCTCCGTACCAGCTTGGTTTTTGCATTATCCAGGAATGGAACTTTCGTTCTGTTGGGTATTTATAATGCAGTTCTGGGCCCAGAATTGCCCATTAAAACAAAAACTCCATGCAACGGAGGGAAAATTTCCGCATCTCAGTAACGTGCACACATCATTATCAAATCGAGTAATTGAAAACTGAACTTCAATAAACCTAAGCTTCTCTTTTACTCGTCATGCATTGGTTGACAATTACACTCAAGGTTCATCTGGTACATTCCTACTATGGACAGTTCTGCACCTATCTAATAATTGTCAACCACAAGGATTAGGTAAAGATCTCTCCAAGTATGATGATGTGGCAATGAAGAGTATTCAAGATTGTATGAGAGATATGTGCCAAGATGGGATCAGAAGGAAGATGTACCAGCTCACCCACATAAAACAGAAGACATCATTAAGAAATCAGAAGTCTAAAAGAGCCTATCTTGAGGGAAAGGGTACAACGTACAGGACATGCAAATTCCATAGGTCTGCAGACGTATGGTTACTTAGTGCTATGCAGCCATAGAAAATTCAGGATAGCCAGGACAAGAGATGCAGAAAGAACGAAAAATGTGTATCAAAAAACACGGGAGTCTTCTTGTGTCTTGATAGGGAAAATTCAAGGTTTGTTACCACCATCAAGATAGTGTCCACCAAAAGTACTTTTGGATCTACACTAATTTCATGGCTCAGAATGGCACCCTAGTAACAATTCCAGCTCTCAATTTACTTTGGTCATGAAATCACTAAACATTATGCCTATCCGTGCCCCCAGTCGATTATGCACCAAATCTTGCGATAATTATTGAGGCTTGAAACGCATTTAAAAAATTTGAAGTAAAAATAAAAACATCGACGAGGGAAATACTTTCACGATGCACTAGGGCTTTCCTCAAAAGCAAGAGCAGGTCCTCCTGATCCAAGCTTCTTGCCTTTCCTCCTTGCCAACTCTACTAGATAATCAGTGATCAACAACTCATAATCTGGCAACTTGCCATAGCCTGTACGATAAAAATAAAAAAAAATAAGTAAAAAATATGATGTTCCGACGTAGACAACAGATCAAAATAAGACCCGAAAAAAGCAAAAGACAATGCATATTTGCCGTGAGACAAGCGTGCTGTACGTCATCCTCAGTAACTCTACATAAGGAATGAATTGTGTGGCAGATAGATGCACGGGAGCTCAAGAAAGTAAAGCGGCTTAACATACTCTGGAAAGGAACTCATTACCACATACCAGGAAAATAATTGATGTCAATAACGTAGTAACAATTTCCAGCACCTCCTTCTCGGATCATGTCAAAGTTGAAGAGTGACAACCCCTGCAAAAGCTCAGATAAAAAGAAATCAAAAAACAAAAACTTCACCTTCTGAACTGTCAATATGACATCTCCGGCAGAAGGATGAGTGATCGCGGATCTTTCTGAATATCCATTCCCTCATGCATCAGCAGAACTCTCTTGACAATTCTGCTACTAAACATATTCCTTAACGGAAAAGGCTCTTACACAGCAATATAAAATAAGATTTATAAATGTTTAAAGTATGAGAGGGATTTCCAGGGGCATCGCTAATTCGTAGAATCTCAAGAATTCATAATTTGTAGTTTTGTATTACAAGAGTCCACTGAGGCAATACTAACTTACGCGGAAAACACTATCATCACCCTGGCATGGGCTTATTTCTAAATTGTTCTATTCACATTTCAATTAGGCACAGAATTATATATATATATATATATATATATATATATATAGAGAGAGAGAGAGAGAGAGAGAGAGAGAGAGAGAGAGAGAGAGAGAGAGAACTGATAATCTTACCAGTCTTGTACGTAACTCGGCCACTAAGCAGTCGAGGAGCCGCTGAGGTGGCAACTCTGCACCCATTGACAGTCCAGCCAAAACAAATGTCAAAAACTTGGTCAGCGAAGAAGTAATGCAACACACACCATCTGGGGGAAGAGATTCAAATGACACGTGACCAAGTCAGTAAACATAAGGAACACAGACATGCTTGCACAGAGAAGTCCATGCTGGAAACCCCAAAACGATCCAAGAGTTATGTACCAAAAATCCAGATTAAAGCAACATAACCCCCGAGTTACCAACCTACAATACACGGACTCTTACAACCTAGCCCTAGGAAACATTTTGGATTTTCCATTTAAGACTTCTCCACATTAAGATGGCACATCTATAGGGGTTAGAAATAAGCCCATGCCTGCGACTTCTGGATCTAAGTCAGCTTCTTCGGCAGTAGCGGCTGCAGAGGAAACCCTTGGAAAAGACTTCACACCAAAACCTACTTGGTCTCCTTCGCCTAGATCGGGCAAAGAATATCTTCGTACTACCTTGATAGCATTACCAATAACGTACACTTTGAACAGTACACCGCCTGCGTAACGGAACCTAAAGCAAATTAGTACAAGACTAAATAGAATAACACCACAGATTCTAGCATCTATTATCTCAGTCTCCACAAAATAGTTTACGTTGTTCTGGTTTTAACATTGTCCAACCAAACCAGAACTATCACTAACAAAAGGTGTTTTTGCACATTCCCTACAGCAAAGCACACGAGCTATCCAGTATGAAGGCAACCTTAAACTAGGTCAAAGTGAACAAAGAGGCTCTCAGGTATTTACCGTGGTTCACAAATTCTTGAAGAACAAGGGGAGTGTCCAGGGAAGATAGCCCAAAACGGTCATATGCAAGTGACATGGCATGTGACTTGGCAGAACCATCAGCCACCAATGGCTTTGCAACTGCATAAACGATGTGTAGACAGTCTGATTACTCTACTACTGGCCACAAAAAATCCACTTCAAAACTCAATGGTAGTCATTCACATTGTCTTTACCCAAGTTCTCCTTGCCAGAGTAAATAAGTCGCAACGTACTTATTCAGGATCGAAAAATTAAACCAAATACGAGAACAATTACCCAAAGGCAGCTTCAATCCTGCTTCAGCTACGGAGGATGGAATGCAGGACGAATCACCGACAACCACCAGTTGCTTTGGAACTCGTACTTGTCCTACAAAAATCACAAAAAATGAGAACAAAATGCCACTGATTATACTTAGGTAGCTTCAATATAAATCCTAGTTGATATCTTTAGATTGGAACATCTTCTACCGCGTAGTCAGCCAACAGAAGCGAAAGTTATCTATTCTTACATATACAATAAACACAGGTCTACACCACATAAAAGGTGATTCAAACAAAGAATTTGCAATTAATGGAAGGCATGTTACCATCAGAATCGGTGAGTCTTAAGTCTGCTACGTCTTGTAACATAGATTGTCGATTCCTGAGTTGCTGAATTGCACCCGGTGGATCCAAAACTATCACATCTGGGAATTTCTGCACGTAGTCCTGCAGAGCCAACAGCTTTACAATCTCAGACACACAAGAAGACAAACAATACCGCTTTCGACGTTGGAAGAAAGGAGAATGGGACTAAAGTTGGGTTACAGTATAAAGATTGAAACAGTTACGCGATGAAAAAAGCACCCCTACTTTCCAATACGGTCCAGTTTTTACAAAAACGTAACGCTCGGTATTTCTAAGCGAAAAGACAACATTGTAATGACATTGCAGTTCTTATATTCAGAGACATAAAACAAAAGGGGCACAGCTTCGCCTGCCAGTCCTCTAGGAACATTCTCTTCCTACATTTGTCTCACCTCTAGCTCTTGCCGCCATTCCTTTCCTGCCAACTGTATCAGCAGACATCAGTACAATCCATAGTGAGTACTGATATCACGGTACCAGAACGACACACGCTTGCAACTAAGAAGCAGTATAAAGCCAGATACAATGATACATGAACCATGACAAGCACCTTTTAGAGCTCAACAGCATATTGCCATACTCCAGGCAGTTCCGCCAACAAGCACAGCTTCACGTCTGGACAATGTAAATATGAAAATGAACACCCTCGGACATGGAGACATTGTTTGCAGATTATCCAATGAAATCTGCAACACTAGTCTTTACACTTGACAGAAAGACTGGATAACTTCTGGGCGTTTGTTGGTACAAAAGGCTTTCAACTTCAAAAAAATGTTTTTGACATTGTCGAAAAAGAGAAAGAAGAAAGAAGTAGAAATGACTCCAAACAAAAGAAAACATGAAAGAACACCAACATACGACACAAATAAAAAAGAAGTGCGCAAGGCAAATGAGAAACCAGGTTTCGATGGGACCCGCGTAGAAAATCTACCTTGTGGAGAATGACGTCAAAAGGCCCCTGGTCTATGAGTGCTCTATTACGATCAAGGGCCACAAATGTAATCCCCCTCGACCTGGTGACAGGATAAAAACAGAATTACGGAACATTCATACATTTATCAGACTGAACGTGAAAAATTAGCAGATGCTAATGTTAGACACAAGTAAAGTTAACTTGAGAATAGGACAACTACTCTAGATATCACTCCGCAGCATGGAAAACCTCCAATTACAGAGTAGTAACTAAGATAATTCATTCACAAGAGCAGATAGTTAGCGTTCCATCTACGATTAACCTGGCTGGTCCCGCACTCAACACTCACCATCTCTCCAGACAAACTCTGAAACTCTAATGCCACTTATGCAGGAAAATGCAGCCAAGTCGATACACAACAAGTCAGGAATTGTAAAGCTGCTGATAAGGTAACAAGAGACACATGGAAGTTGGTGCCAGAGGACAATCTTCAAGAAGTTCAACAAGTTAAGATTAGGTGTTCCAAAAAGCGATAATGCAGTTAATGGCCGTGAAGGTCCGTAGATTTCTGCTTGCAATCATGGGCGATGAATCTAGAAACCAACTCTAACCATAAGTGGAATACGGAAATGGATATAATGTAATAACCTGGCTTGGGCCTCCAGTTTTTGTTGCATGAAGCTCCGGGTCTTCTTTGGAGTCAGGGCATAAGCTACGGTAAACCGTGGCGAAGGCATCTTCGAAATTCTTCACACATCCCCACTTGGAACCCTCCTTGCAATGCTATCTTTAGCTGAGATGAGCTCTTGTGTTGGCTCTATCGGCTCTTCTACCTCAGTTCAGACTCCTCCTGTGAAGAATCCATGAAGTTTTGTGAGGATTGCGTCTACTAAAGAAAACAAACAAACAAACAAAATAGCATACATGTTCTCAAAGCTTTCGAAGGGGAGTAGCTCACGTTGAACGTGACATATCCTGAGTACTGCAAATATACAACTCCAAAAATATCCCAACTATTCCACCAAAGACCTTGCTCTCTAGACTTACTGCGATTACGGAATTCGTTTGCTGCATAAGCTGATTACGATATCATTCACAACCTGCCAATATAGGTCTTTCCGCTAAAGACATCCACATGGTCTAGAAAGAGCGAATCCAACACACTCACAATTATGCACTCCCCGCCGTCTCAAAAGTCTGTAGTACCTTTACAATGCACCCTGAACCTTCTTCCAGAGTCATTTCGCAGCTCTACGAGATATGCTTTACAGCAATAAAAACAAAAACACATATGTGCCACCGCAACGACATCGCATCCAGGATCTCACAAACCCTCACAGAAAACCAAAATAAGCCGAGGAATTACGACATGAGGCTTACTTGATCATACGAGCAACTCCAGCGCCTATTAAAACTTGTTGGGCGGAAAAGAACCTCCAAACCTAACGGCATCAAAATTAGCATAAAATGTCAGTGATAAACCCTGACGTCTTTCACATTTCCTAGTCAAAACTGTCAACAGGCTGTCTGCCGAATAACCCCCAATTGCGGTGCAATTCCTCCAAGTCCAGACGCTCGGAAAGTTTCCAAATGCACCAGCACTGTCCGGAAGTGATTTTTCCACTTCCCACAGCGGATATTCTCTGTTTCTCAAACATTCCCACCACTCCACACAAGTTGGCTCACACACTCCAGAGGCAAGAAAATGCTCACACTCTGCGCCTGGCTATCGAATGTCTTCAAAATTAAAGATTAGAACCACAAGCTCCTCTACCAATCTATTTAACCCACAAACCCTCGTACTCAGCAGCCCACCGCCACAAGAATCACACCCTCTCGACCAGCATCCCGGTACACAAAAACCTTCGATTCCCCCAAAACTTACCAAAAACAAACACTCTATACAACAATGTGTCTCTCGAATCCTGAAATCACGCCTTAGAAGCCTCCTGATCCCCAAACCCAACAATGACGTTGGACTCGAACCCCAAGACACGCACGCACGAGTGCTCAAAGGAAACCCAAATATCAAAATCGGCCTCAAAACTCTTCTGTCTTGACGCCCTCGTTCGGCTTCAAGCCAAGTCCCCGCTGGTGCAGTGAAATTGCCAAATGTTATTATGGCACCCACTTTTCTCTTATCCGCCGCAGTCTTCTGTTACCGCTTTTCATCCTCCACCTAAACTGGTAACTTCTTTAATGGCCTCTCGTATGTTGTCTGCCCGCTGAATGTCGACCATGAACTTCATGACCCACCCCACCTCGCAATTTCTTGATTGGCACGTTTGTGTCCTTTTTGTCTGCGTTGTGTCGATACGGTGGATTAGCTGGTCATGCAAGGAGAAGGCGATTCACGAGACTTGCCAGATGGTACATGGGTCCTGCTTCGAGGACGCTCGGTTGTCGCGAAGATCCTCATCAAACTCTGCGCAAGAGGAATGCGCGGGTTAGAGTCGATTTGAATGTTAAGTTTCATGTTCGTGCAGTCCAAAATTATATCGAGCGTCTTAGAGGCGTCAATCTGTGGTTATACTGTACATAAATGATCTGTTAAGCATACAGCAAGGGAGGGAAGGGCGAGTTCAAAAATCGAGTTAGTGCATCGCAATTGCTTAAAATAGCGAATGAAACACAAGAACCTACATCGGAAGAACTTATTATTAGAATGTGCAAGCGGATAGGGTAACGTTTGGTGATGCAGAATTAGAAAGCAAAGCAGGGTGATCAATAGGTTTCGGTTAGCAAGACTCATGTCAGCATCGGAACGTTTAAAGGCTTCTGACCAAAAAAACTTTACCTAAGATCTTCGACTTTTTAATGTTCCTTTGTATTTTGCCTCAAGCTGTCTCGTCCGACGGTTGAGATTCCATTTTCTAATAAGTTTCATGTCGTTGAGCATTCACATCGTTAAGGGATGATAGTTGTGTGGATTGTTCAGATTGAAGTTTTCGCCACCGTTTTAGCAATTGCTCCTGTATCAACGCTGTAAGAGGAAAACAATGTCCTAATTATCTAGTTAAAATCATGGTGGAGAAGAGTAGAGCGAGTAGTTTAGCGTGATGATCTTAGATGAGCCGGGAGCAGCAACTACCGAAATAGAGAACCAGCGATGCGATGATTGTCTGCGAGAACCAACTTAATAGCAGATAAGGATCCTCCTCTCAGACCTACCTTATCTAGGCTATGTAATTCTCACCCACGCCTGGAGCCCAGCCAAGTGATCCATAATGCCTACATCTCAGAGTCCAAACAAAAGCCTGTCATGGAGAACATCGGTGCATGCTCAACAATTGATTCTAACTATCCGAGCAGGAGTTTAGATCGGGCTCCATGTCCACGACCAAATTCTTCTTATCTCGTCATGCGAACTGGAGCTTTTGCATGTGTTCCTGAAGTGGGAGAGACAAGTTCAAAGGATCAGGGAAACTTCATGATCCAGATGTGGATACCTTGCGATCAGCCAAGCAGAATGCAGAACCCAGAAACATCAGTGAAGGCACCGTGACCTCAGCTTTTCAGCAGATCTTCAGCAGAAGCTTGGAGCCATAACTCTAGAGTCACTGGAGCACATTCAGTGGAGCGTGGAGTGCATACCTTGAAGGTGAGGAGTGTTCCTCTCCCCCCAGTTAATTGTTCCAATGAACTGAATTAGCAGCAGAATTTCCTGCTAGTTCCATGATTTATGCACCCTGGGTTCATGCACCATTCTGTATATGAAGAGAAATGAGGATTGTGAGGTCCTGTAGAGAAATGAGGATGTGGGGGCCATCAACTGCCTGATGCTGCAACACACTGTGCAAGACGTTGGGGCCATCCTTAGAGCTTCAAAGGACTTTGCTAGGTGAGTAAGCTCAAACCTTATTGAGCTGAGAGAGAGCCCATTTCTTCATCCTCCTCACACAATGTGAGTGTCACTGGTGCATTGGTCGAAAGCTTCTATCCTTCCACATTTCTTAAGATCTCTGTTGCATTCCAAAGTCTACTAAGTCTATTCAAAATGAGGGCTTTGACTTCTGAACATGTGAGTCTGTTTTCAACACTACTCCACTGGGTGGTGGTGGTGGTGGTTTAATGTATTTGATTGTATGTTGCTAGTATGCCTTCTTACCATTTTTGTAGCATATTATTGAATCTAATAATTTAAAACTAAATCAACCTTGTTTAGTATTCTTATTGGCTTAGGTTCTATTTAAAACAAATCAAATATATATGCAAATTCACAAAGTAAATATGATTAAAATTCCATGGTATCTATATAATGTGAAAGCTTAGGTAGAAGACAAAGAAATGAAGAAGTCCCCTTGTTGGCCAAAAACATATGTTGTCCTTTCACAATGCAAAAATGTATGTTGTTCTTCTATAATGCACTTCTCCAAATACAAATAAGATTATTTATTCTAATATTAATAAAATCAAAAATACCACAATAAATATATTTTGTTCTAAATTATTATTAAATTAATCATTTTAGTTACCTAAATAAATAAAAATTGTCTTTGCCAATAATATTAAACAAGTACAAATAGTCTCATTTTTATTTTTTTATTTTTAAATTGATTTATCTTTAGGAGATGTTGATTTTTGATTTGGCAAATTAAAATGATATATCTTTTTTTAATTTGAAATAAATTATGTTTAATTACTACATAGTATTACAAACATATATATTTCTCTAAATAAGAAGTACTAGATAGAAGGTTAATGTAAGTAGATTTGATATTATCTTGTGGCAAAGCTTCTTAGAAGTTTTATAGATATGTATTTGATTTTATACATATCTATAGTTAATTAGTATGTTAAAAATTTGGCAACAAATTAGCCATGTGTTGAATGTGTGACTAACTTGTGGTACAAGCTAATAATATGGTGTGCATATACGAAACTTGCTTTATAAGTTAAGACACATATCTCGTAAATTAGACATGTGTTAAAAGTTTTACAAGTCGTTGTTACATAGCTCTTAATTTGATAATATATATAAAGGCAAGAATGAAACCTTCTTCACTCTTGTGAATGCCTTTCTAATCTTTTTTCTTGATTTAGGATCTTCTAGTCTTTTTATCTTTGATAGTAGCCATTCAAATTCAATATATTATCATATTTTAGTGATTTTTTAGTCTTTTCAAGTGACATAAGAATGTATTGAGATTTTTTTTATTTGAGATTCATATCTTTAATAATTTGACAAGAAAGTTAACTTATTATCCTTATTTTATGTTAGAAATGATTGGATTATCTCACTTCTATTATTCTATTTTGAAGGTTTTGGATTAATAACCTTTAAATTCACTATTAGTTTTTGAATACTGATTATTTTTCTTTAAGAGAGTAGACTACTTTTTTTGTAGAAACTTTCATTTAATATTAGAAGTTGCATATTATCTTCTTTTAATTTAACTTTTAGATTTATTTGAGTTGTCTATAGAAGAAAAAATTATAAATGCTACTCTTGGCAGAAATGAGAATAAATTTGTAACTATTGCAAATTTTCACAAGCTTGTCAATACTTTGATGATAGAAATCTCATGTATTTTTCACATCAACCATAGAGGTAGTATTTTGATGCCTATAGAAAAATTCAACAATAAAATTCAAAGTCTACGCTAAGAAGTTATGTAATTGAGAGAAGCAAGAAAATCAAGTTCTCAACTAAATTCAAAAAGTTTTGAAATTCCAAATATGAGAGAGACAAGTATAAGTATGCTTAAGAAGTTTGATGGAACAAGATCAAAATTTTGAAGATTTCTATAACAAGTAATGTTTTATATAAAGTTGCATCTTTTTCAATATCTTCATAGATATATTCAAGTTAAATTTATAGATACAATTCTTTCTAAGAGTGTTTTTTTTTTTTTTTTTTTTTTTTTTAATTTGTACTTTAGATGAAAAAAGATTCACGTCTTTTTTTTTATCTGAATTCATTCTTAAAAATATTTATGGATACTTTTAAAAAAAGTATATAAAAAAAGTTATAAAGACCAAACTTATATATTCAGGACAAGGATCACGTTCAGCTATTATATATGCTACATAATTCTAAAATCTTGTTTACAATATAGATTGAAATGACAAGGTTATATCAATTAATTTTAATATGGATTAAACAATAATATTAAAGATTTGCTATTGGTGATGCAAAGAGCATTACAGGATTTTATTGCTCAAGCTATTGCATGTAATAATTGATTCTTTAAAAGATGTTAAGAATAAAGATTTGATTAGAGAGGTATAAATCAAGCCATAGTGACAACTTCTAAATTCACAGAAGCTTATTCATTAATACCAAAACCTATGCAAATTGACATAATATGTTTCAAGCCTCTTATTGAGCAAAAAAAACTTGACACAATCAAGAAGGATTCTGCTTATATTGTAGAGAACCTAAGTACACTACTCAATATTATCCAAAGAAGCAATGCAACCACAAAATAAGAAGTATGGTTGCCAAAGTGAAAAATGTATTAGAAAACAAGTTTCTTCAACTATAATAGAAATTATGCAATTGAAATCTTATATAATATCTAATAAAGGTCTTATTCTCTCTTCAAATCCTTCATCTTATTTTATAATAGAAGCTTGTTTGGGACCAAAAAATCACAAAGACTTTGTCTTGTTAGATTTAAAAGCCTTAGCTTGTTCTCCAAATAGAACCTTTGTTAAAAAATAAGAAATATTTTTACTCAAGAAAAATAAATCCATACATATAGAAGTCATAGATGGCTCTTAATTATTTTTTGGTGTTGTATTACGTATATTCTTGCTTAAAAATGTAATAAGCACTAAGTTGTGAAAGTTAAATAAAAATGCAACAACAATCCTACAAAGTCTAATAGAATCTTAAATAAACTTTAAGTAATCATCAATAACCTTAATAAAAATTTAATCAATTCAAAATAAATTTAAAAGAAGTTACAAAAAAAATACAAGAAGTTATAAATTAATCTAAAAAAAAAAAAAAAAAAAAAAAAAAAAAAAAAATCCTAAAAAAAGATATAAATAAAATCTTTAAAAAATATAAAAAACATATAAGAAATACTAAAATTAAAATATTAAATAAAGATTAATTAAATTCTAATAAAATTATAATATAATCTTAATTAAAATCCTAATGA